ATAAAGAAAAGTTATTTATTAGTTCCCATAATAGAAGAACTAGAGGACACCAAATGAAGTTAATGAGTAGCAGGTTTAAAACTAATAAAAGAAAGTTCTTCTTCACACAGCGTGTAGTCAACCTGTGGAACTCCTTGGCAGAGGAGGCTGTGAAGGCTAGGACTATAACAGAGTTTAAGGAGAAGCTAGATAATTTCATGGAGGGTAGGTCCATAAAAGCAGTCAACCTGTGGAACTCCTTGGCAGAGGAGGCTGTGAAGGCTAGGACTATAACAGAGTTTAAGGAGAAGCTAGATAATTTCATGGAGGGTAGGTCCATAAAAGGCTGTTTGCCAGGGGATAGAAATAGTGTCCCTGGCCTCTGTTTGTCAGAGGCTAGAGAAGGATGGCAGGAGACAAATCGCTTGATTATTGCCTTTGGTCCACCCCCTCTGAGGCACCTGGTGCTGGCCACTGTCGGCAGACAGGCAAGTAGGCTAGATGGACCTTTGGTCTGACCCAGTACGGCCATTCTTATGTTCTAATAGAGTGGGCTCTAAGTACCCGGTATACCCAATAGCACACACTCCTCATGCCTTAAGAACTTTCCCTTCTCATCATGACCCAATGAAGGTTCTATCTCAGTGGTAGGCAACCTGTAGCTTGAATCATAAAATCATAAAACTGAAAGGGACCTCAAAAGATCATCACGTCCAGTCCCCTGCTCTCACAGTAGGACCAAGCCCCATTTAGATCATCCCTGATAGATGTCTATTTAACCTACTCTTAAATATCTCCAGTGATGGAGATTCTACAACTTCCCTAGGCAATTTATTCCAGTGTTTAAACACCCTGACAGTAAGGAAGTTTTTCCTAATGTTCAACCTAAACCTCCCTGGCTGCAGTTGAAGCCCATTGCTGCTTGTCCTATCATCAAAGGCCAAGGAGAACAATTTTCCCCCTCCTCCCTGTGACACCCTTTTAGATACCTGTCAGTCTTCTCTTTTCCAAACTAAACAAGACCAATTCCTTCAGCCTTCCCTCAAAGCTCATTTTTCCTAGACCTTTCATCACTTTTGTTGCTCTTCTCTGGACCTTCTTCAATTTTTTCACATCTTTCTTGAAATGTGGTGCCCAGAACTAGACACAATACTTCAACTGAGGCCTAATCAGTACAGAATAGAGCAGAAGAATGACTTCGTGTCTTGCTCACAAAACTCCTGTTAATGCATCCCAGAATCATATTTGCCTTTTTTGCATATTTAGTTTGTGATCCACTATGACCCCTACATCCTTTTCTGCAATACTCCTTCCTAGACAATCACTTCCCATTCTGTATGTGTGAAACTGATTGTTCCTTTCTAAATGGAGTACTTTGCATTTGTCCTTATTAAACTTCATCCTATTTGCCTCAGACCATTTCTCCAGTTTGTCCAGATCATTTTGAATTATGACCCTATCCTCCAAAGCACTTACAATTCCTCCCAGCTTGGTATCATCTGAAAACTTAATAAGTGTACACTCTATGCCTTCATCTAAATCGTTGATGAAGATATTGAACAGAACCGGTCCCACAACAGACCTCTGTGGAACCCTATTTGTTATGCCATTCCAGCATGACATTATGTTCTTTTCCTTGTGAGCCATTAATAACTACTCTCTGAGAACAGTTATCCAGTCAGTTATGCACCTACTTTATAGTAGCCCCATCTAAGTTGTATTTGCCTCATTTATTGATAAGAATAAATGTGAGACCATATCAAATGCCTTACTAAAGTCTAGGTATACCACATCCACTGCTTCTCCCTTATCCACAAGACTTGTTATCCTAGCAAAGAAAGCTATCAGACGGGTTTGACATGATTTGTTCTTTTCAAATCCATGTTGGCTGTTATCTATCACCTTATGTTGAGGGCCACATGTAGTCCATGGAGGTTCTATGTGTGGCCCACGAGACATTTTGTTTACATTTTGTTTCTATGTGTGGCCTACTACAGGATTGCCAGATTCTGTTTGTTTCTGTCTGAGTGGTTTTTTTCCCTACCGGTATTACTGAAGTGATATGCACCTAAAGTGAGGGCATGTGAAGTGAGGTGTGCACTGATTGCACACTGCACTGACTGTGAGAGCCGTGCGCACCTTCTGCAGCCAATCACAGCGCTGCTACGGTTCAAGCGGCACCCCCGCAAATTCAAGGGATGCAAGTACATTTAGTATAACTACCCTATCCTAGGAGACTGTCTTGGGTATAACAGTCTCGCAGCTTACTGAGATGAAGAAGGGCCACTTATGTGGCCCACTGCCTGGCCTAGGATGCCCATCACTGCTCTATCTGTTCCCTGCCTGTTGACCACAACCTCTGCTGCAGTGGTGGGGGGAAGGAGGTATTTATTTGCTTCGGCATTTGTCTTAGCAACTCTTACTAGTCTCTCCTCCATTTCTCTTCCCTCACTCTCCTAGGCCTGTTTCTCCTCTTTTTCAGACCAGCCAGGTAGTCCTGCTGCTGTAAAGAGAAATGGGACCACTCTCTGTCCCTGGGAGGCAGCTTTGCATTTGGAGGGGGAGGGGGAGAAAGAATTGTGAATAGGCTCTTTCACTCCTTCCAACCTGCCTGGAGCCAGGAAGCGTCAGCTGCCAGTGGAGCGAGAGGTTGCGTAAAAGATCCAAAGAAAGTTATTGAAACTGAATAGAAATTGAAACTTGTTTGAGCTGAAATTGTCCCTTAGTTGCCTTTCCTCTCCCCCCCATCACTATCAGAACAATGCTAAAAGAGTTTCTACCTGCATTCTCTTGCCCTGGGGAAGGGTCGTATAACTCCTATTAAGGATGCTGTCTGGAACACTGTGTTTGCCCTTTTTCCTTCCTGAACACAACTGCCCTTCATGAAGTTTAAACTGAGAATAACTGAAACACCACACTGATCCGTGTGTGCTTTTTATCCTTCAGAACATGTTAGTATCGTTTACTGCACTGTTGTGACTAAGTGAGCCTCTCATGGTGCTGCCTGATGTAAAATGACAAAGTCTAACACTTACAGGAAATTATTTCCAGTTGCTCTCAAGCAAGTGAAATGACTCCAACCAAAACCCACATTTGTGTTACCTGAGTTCTAGCCATCCATAAAGCAATCAGCTCACCAAGCGTGCAAAGCTGAGTGACTTCCAAGACCACTTTACGAGC